TGCTCGGGGGCCGCAGAGGCAGGCAGAGATGCGCAGGATCGGCCTTGCTGCAGCCCCGGCGAAGAGATTTGGTTTGGAAACCGAGTGCCAGAAGTGCTGGAGCCGGGGGCTGAGCCCCTCCAGAAGAGATGAGAGCCCCCCCTGCAAGATCTAGAAATCAAAACCGGGGTGTCTTCAATGGGATTGCTCCTTCACTTAGGTGGTCTTGCTCAACGATTAAATAGTTTTATTTATGTATTTATTTATTTGTTTATTTTGCAGAGCCGCGCCACTAGAGTCCATGTGTAATTGGAAGCTGGGCTGGAGGGGCACCTGGGGTCAGATCAGACTGGGAACCATTTGCCTAAAGGATAACCTTGGAAATGACTCTTTTCTTTATTTAATTATTTAATCCAGTTTTAGGACACACTGGCAAGAGCCCACCACTCCCCTTGTACCAAATGCATTGACTAAGGACTACATAACCCACCCACCCACACACCTACATATTATATTATTAACTCACAGACAAACACCTCTGGGCAATAATCCCTCTTCCTTTCTGAAGGCAAAGATTACTGAATTTGGTGGCTGACTGCAGGCAGAAAAGTTTCCATTAGAAATGCCTCACAGAATCTTATGGGGGGAAAACACCAAGCTGTGTATTTAAGTTTAATGATTTTGACACTTTTTATTAATTGCTTGTGGAGATGTGCTAGGTGGATGGGCATGTTTCAGCCTGCTAGTCTTATTTCTTTTATGGCAAAAACTCCTACTACAGTAGTAAAGTGGAAAAGTGTCAAAAAAGGCCATTATTTAACATTTAAATACTTACCGTCTAACAGTCAGAACCCCTAATAGCAATATGCATCTAATAGGGAGTCTGATAACTAGAGATAAATGTTCCCAGGCAATAAAGTTATTATTTAACTAAAGAATGAAGGCATTATGATAATTTCACTTTATTTTTAGAAAATAAATGCGGAGCTAAAATTGCAGATACTAGCTAATACGGCAATGGGTTGAAGTGGCAGTTCCTTGCTGACGCTGTTCCTTGTTTTTCAGTTTTGTTCTAACCTTTCATGATCACGACATCATTTTACTTGGCTTATTATACTGGAAAAGATGTAAAAGGTGAAGACGCTGTTTGGATTTTGCTTTTTGTTCCTCCTCCTCACCCCACTAGAGGAACCAAGAATTTGTCTTACTTGATCATAACGCCGTTCTTTTAGTTTAATATATTTACTTTTGCATCAGATAAATAAAATTATAGATTGTGACATCACAGAGGGCTGACTGCACCAATTAGCACTTTGCGCAAGAAATTTACGAAATTTATCAGGTACAAGAAATGTGTTGGCAATATGATACGATCAGCTGACTAAATTCGATCCCTGTCTAATTAAACAGCAGCTTTAGTTCAACCTTAGCAATACAAAGCAGTAAATATAATTCTGGGTTTCAGTTGAGTAGCACCTAAAAAGGTTTGGTCAGATGCTCTAGAAATGAGCTTCAGTAAAACATTTCAATACAATGTGATGTTCAGTTCTTTGGTGCTTGTATTTAAATATTAGTTTTTGTATTTTCAAAGCAATGGAAAGCCAATACATTTTTTGACAAACAAAACAAAGTAGCATGGATTGTTTCTGTTGTTTCTGTTGTTTCCTTACCCCCCCCCAGTATTATTTTCATTTTTTATCATTTAATAAGGTGAACATATGAAGATTATATTTATATTCCAATATGGGAGTTTATACAACAAAAAGCCGCCATGAATCAGGCTAATATTCAGCTTTTGACTTAGGCTCAGACTGCAGTGAGAGTTAAGCACCCAAATGGGAGAGCGCACAAATCACCAGTCGACTCTCCCTATGCCTGAAGAAGGGTGTTTGTGCCCGCAAGCTTGCAAAGAATACTTTTTCCAACTATTTAATTGGTCTAATAAAAGATGTCACATCTACCCAAAGAACCTGCCTGCAAATGAGAGTTAGGTACCTTTAGCATGTGGTCCTAAACACCAAATCGAAAGTCCAAAATTCCTTTCTGAAGCCCCTGCACTCAGTGGCCACCAAGCCTTCAAAGATACCTAAATACTAGATGCCTAGGCAACATCAGACAGGCCACTAAAAAAAAATGAACATCAATAACCCTGGGAACAGTGATCAGCTGAATGTCCTCATCACTAGGCTAGTACAGCGTCAGCCTTTATTCTCTGACCCAATGAATCGTATTCCAGGCACCAGCTCCTGGCTCTGGAACCCAAGCAGACAGATGGACTTTCCTATAGCTGTAATTTAGGCAACACCAAAAACAGAAAAAGCAGAGGAATTTAAGATAGAATCCTGTACTGAAGATTTCCTGTAGGGTATCCCTAAGTAGCTCTCTGCCCCATGCACTTGGTTTTTGGATCATTCATCTGATATGCCTAACTTTCCTCATACAGTGGACACATCTACATCTGCGCATTTACTATGCAGTAACTGAAATTACTGCGCAGTACAGGTGTGCCTCTATATGTGCACACCTGTATGACGCAATAAATATGGCAACTTACGCCAACTTGAGTATAAATTTGATACCTGCATCATGCCCAAGTCAGTCCACACACACTGTTAATGCACTTGAACATGTAGACACCTGCCTATTCCCACTTAATGCGCAGTAATTTACTGTGCAGTAAATTCAAACTGGCGTAAATGCATGTGTAGACACGCCCACTGAATAGGGAGTCCGAGCGCAAAATTCTGACTTCAGGACTCCACTATGGGAGCCAAGCACTGCAACTTAGGTATTATAGTGGTTAGACTCTTTAAGTAAGTCCTTAAATCTATTTTACCATAGGTACTTATATGACACCCTCTGCTGTAGTATCTGCAGTCTCCAGTCTTTTTTATATACTTACGTTCACAGCACTGTTGCTACCATTTAACAATTTTATGTTTCCTTAATGGAGAATCTGTAGGCCATCTTTTTAACTTAGCTGTGTTCAGTAACTCAAGTAAATCAAAATACAAGGGGAAATTACCAGTTGCCAATTAGGTAGCTCTTGTCCCTGCCACCAAATAGTTCTGTGGTGATAGGGTGGAGCAAAAGGAAGAGAATGGAAAGAAGAGAAGAAATGTATCCAAAAGTTCCTGTCCCCAAATAGGCCCATAAATAGCCTGCCAAAAGTACAGTCATGTGTGAAGTAGGGGAGAGGGAGGACACAGTGGGTGCATCTACACGTTCATTCATGCACAGTGGTTACTGTGCATTTAATTTAGTACTAGTATGATCAAGTAATAAATGTGTAGTAACCAGAGTTGCTGTGCAGTAGCGCTGGCAAATGCCTTTTTTAGTGATAATACTGTGCTGCAGTTTAATAATACTGAGCAGTAGCGTATCAGCACTGTCTGCTGTGACGTGCTACTGCCCAATGTTACTAGGCTACTGCACAGTTTGTGTCTCGTGTACACATGCCCACCATGTAGCAGCACATCCCTGTATGCCCCAATTCTTTTTCTGGTAATCCTGTTACCAACTTCAAATTACTTCTGTAATCCTAGTTATGAAAAATGGCAATGTATCTGATATGTGTCACTTGCCAGCAAAAGTTTATGCTCTATGAAAAAGCATGAATGAATGCATACCACCAATGTCCTGGTGCCTGTCCATCACTTAAAGATAAAAACCATGACAAATACTAATAATAATGAGGAACAAAGACACAAAAACAAGACAAGTTATCCCACCCTTTCTGTACTTGAAAATCCTAATCTCATCTTGCATCTACAACAAAGTCTCTTAACCCCCACCCCCAACTCAGTCATGTTCTCAAACAATATATGTGGCTTCTGTTTTGAACAAGATTTTTTTCTACAACAGTATGTCTGATGTAGAATATTTACACCGTCTCCCAGATTTTCTCCTACTTCCCTTATTTCATTCCTTTGTTTCTATTTAGCTCTGTCAGTATTTCAGCTTCAACCTTTCAGTTTTCTCTGTGGTCAACTTTTCTATATGCCTCCCCCTCCACTCCATATTCCATATAGTGTCCTACTTTTCTTCCTCCATTCTTCCATCTTAATTTTCTCCATTTTTCCTATCATCCTTCTCCCAGCTCATATCCCAAACACACATCCAGTTCACCCAATCCTCCTTCCAATGACTCATCCATAGCCTGAGCAAGAATGGAATATTTTGATTAAATGTAGTAAGCGCTAATAGAATACGAGGATGATGGAGAGAATTTTCTCCCCGTTTTCTTTCCTCCTACCCCATTTACTTTTCCATCTACC